ACTTCATGCCTTTATCCACCCAATTTTGTATCCAATTTCTATACTGTCCACTTACATCAACCCAGTGCTCTGAGGAGATATTCATATTCTTTGATGTGAAAAATCTTCATTCCAGTTGGAACCTTGTGATTCCGCATCCACAAGCAATGTCAAATCAGGACAGGCTGTCCATAAAATCAGCAGCAATATTTACATTTTTAGAATTTGTATAACCGTTCAACGAGGTCGGTTATTATCTTCATTTTATAGGTGAGCAATTGAGCCTTATCAATGTTCAGCAATTGGTCTAAGGTCTCAGTAAGCAGTAGATCCTGGATTTTCGGCTCATTTAGAGAACTGTTAGCACTCTAATGTGTGCTTCTCAAGAAGGGATAGTAGAAAAAATCTAGGTGTCAAATTAAGGCGTCTCGAGTCACGGGTTCTGGAAGAAGTGAGGGTCTGGAGCAGTGCCCTGGAGCGTGAGGGCACTGCCTGTCACTGAGGACTCCTTAAGAACTGACCGTGGGGGCATTTGGCATTTTAGGCCAGGGCCCCAAGGGCGGCCTTACTTCCGGAGATGATGAGAAGGGCACACTGACAATTTATGCAGCTGGCTTCCTGATCCTCCAGCTGGGGCACTTGGCCTCCTTGTTTGGCTGGGGAATATGCTTTACACACATGAATGAAAGAATATTTCACTTTGGGATTAATGCTGTTGTTGTTGCCAGGTGGCAGAGGGTGGATTCAAGTTCATAATGACCATATGTATAACAGAACAAAGCATTGCCCAGTCCCCACAATCGTTGCTATGTGTGAGCCTAGTTGGGCAGCCACGGGATCAGTCCATCTAATGGAGGGGTTTTCCTGCATTTCACTATCTACCAAACATGAGCTCCTTCTCTAGGAACTGGCTCCTCTTGATGACATGCCAAAGTGAGTGAGACAAAGTCTCACCATGCTCTCATCTAAGAAGCATTCCGGCTGGATTTCTCCAAGACAAATGGTGCTGCTGACTCCTATCTCTCATGACCATCAGAACTGTGACCTTTGTCCTAAACTGTCCCCTCACTTTAGAAATAACCTGATTTCCCTTTTAACTTGGCCTTGGAAACATGTTGACAGTAAAATGGTACGTCACAGAAAACACTGTCACCTCCTGGCTAGGAGAAGTTGGCTGTGATGAAATTCACCAGGAAACAAATGAAAAGGGAAGCAATTTTTTAATGGTTCACTTCCCAGATCAGGTGTTCCTACTCAACTGTCACCTTCTTATTCCCTTGAGTTGAGAAGTAGAAAGTGGAACCACACTTGGGTGATAGAATCTCAAATCCTCAAGGCAGCACTATGAGGGTTTCTCTGTACCACTGTGTCCGCAGCCGTCTTCAGGACTAGCGAGAGGAGATACTTCATACATGTTTGTTGTTTTATTGTAGATTCATGTTTGTTGTATTGATTCATATATACCCAATGGACAGCGTGTGGTGTCTGCTTGATACTTACTGATTGAATGCATAACTAACCACAACCCAGATGGTGACTAATTTGGTCCTCAGCATTCTTCAACACCCTCTTCAATAACCTCTTCCTGTTTTGATAACACTCCTTTCCTCCCTTATCATTTGTTTGTGAATCAGGATAGTCTGACCCTTAGCTGGCTTAGGCTCCACAAACAGATAGGCCCGCTTTTCAAATCACAGAAACCTGGTTCTGTTATGTCCAACGTGAGAAATCCATTTGACCTTCATTCTCAGATTCTTTTGTGGTAAGAAATTCCCCCACCCAGAGGGGTGGTAGGGAGGTTTAAATCAGCACACAATCATGTAGCACCTTATCTGGTAATTAAACTGCTCAGTAATGGCAATAGGTCATACACCGGGGTGTTGCTGCAAAAACATAGAAACCTTTATTAAACAAAAATATCAATCTGCAAAGCTATTGTTTTTGGATATACTTTTTTTTTTAAATAAATGTTTTCTTGTGAATTAGGTGAAGGTTTACAGGTCACCTATGTTACAGTCAGCAATCTATACACACTTTGTCATAATCTCTGCTCACCCACTGCAATCCCTTGATTGTGTGTGTGTCAGCACCTCTTCTGATTTCTCCCTGGGTAATACCTGTAAGTTACAGTGATTAAAACATACAATTCATTTTGCATAAAGGAACAAAGAAAATAATCAAAAGGTACTGCTACTAGTGTAACATGCGTGCACACGTTTAGCCTAAACAAGTGTCTAAGCACATCTCTGCAATCAGAGGTGGCTGCAGAGAAGTTCACTCGGTAATACACTTGTCTTGGTCTCATGAAGGTGCTTTCAAATCAGTAGCTTCCAAGGGGTCTGGGCTAGTTAAATTCAAGGCAGCACAGAAGGATGGGGCAGCTTCTGTTTTGGAATTCCAAAAGGGGCAATCATGAGAGATTTTCTCAAAGGACATTGGATAATTGCAGGGGCTTATTATGAATAAAAAGACCAGGAAAGTGGTACCAATGAATTCCCCCCTCTCCCCAACCTCCAATCTGAACAGTGCACCTGTTCATTCGTTGAGGGTAGCAAGGGGCTGTCCTCTGAGAATTTCATTGGGAAACCTTCACCCCACCCACACTAAAGTCCGGAGCTTCTTCCTTCAGACTTCTTTCTTTTCCTCAGATTCAAAGGATGTTGACAAGGAAGATGATTTGAGTCCCTCAAACTGTTCGAGGTATAACCTGAAGGATGCAGAATTCCTCCATAAAGGTTAGAGAGAGGAAAACACTGCCTTCAGAAGTCTGTAGACCCAGATAGAGACTGTGTTGAGAAACACTAATTTCACATTTTGATACTTTTGTTTAGTAAACGTTCCTAAAACTTAGTATCAATGCTTTTATGACTTACCCTTCTATAGTTTTGAACTGCAACCCAGATTTCAGCTTTGGTTCTCCTCCACATGGGTTCCCCTGACTCCTCACAAAGAACAAAATAAGCGATGTTTCCTAGGAGGCTGATTCCACCCACCTCCCCATCCCTTCCATCGAACCCCCAGAAGTTCTGCAGCTTATGGGTTTCGTTTTGCTAAAAAGTCACTGAGATAGTTAAAGTTTATTGTGCCAACCTGGCCGATAAACATGTGTGGGGTTAATTGAAGGGCGGAGGGATAAATGGCTCAGTGAGGCTCGCATTTCTAGTTCTCTGGTCTCTTGCTTTCTGATGGTTGGACCAGGGTGCAGCTGCCTTAGCCAGTTCCCTGCTTCAGCTGGCAAGGCTCACTTCCTGTGAGACATCCCCAAGGAGAAGCCACATGGACCTACACCAATGCAGCCCTGGGTGCCGGAGCAGCCGTGTGGAGACCCCTGCCAATGTTGAGATGCTTACACATTCACTGATTCGGCTTTCCTCCTGCAGTCGGCATCATTGCGTGTGTTTTGTGAGATGGAGGAGGACTTTGTGGACAGACATATGGGCTAATGTTGGACTTGTGGGCTTGGGCAACACTGGGTTGGGATGTTTTCTTGATGTGCACTTACCCTTTATATAAAACTCTCTCTTATACATGAGTTTCTGTGGATTTGTTTCTCTAATGTACCCAGACTAACAGTCACTTAGCCAAGAAAGTGGTGGAGCCAGGTTCCCTATGCCATTTCAGCCAGAGTAACTTCACTCTGATTGGCTTTATAAATAAAGAAAGCTAGAAGGGAAACTTGAAAGGCATTCGTCTTCCGAATCAGGCTCGCCTGGTCGCGTTTCATTGGAAGCTTACAAAGCAATGCAGGTCTGCCCCTCTGCCCTTATCAGATGGGGGACCTGGGTCAAATCACTGACTTTCTCTACTTCAGTGAGCTATTCCGTGAAGCATGCAGTTTGCAAAAATGAGACCCAAGACTCCCTTAGTTTTAATTCTGGACATTAACAAGATTCATAGAGAAAAATTATTTTGAATCACCTGATAATTTAAGACCTTCTAATCCTTGGAATGGATACAAATATGGGTAACTTCCAGGCAGTGGTGCAGTGGGCATGCAACAGGCTGCTAACCATGCGCGCTAGCAGTTCGAAAGCGCCAACCACTCTGCGGGAGAAAGACAGGGATTTCTACAGTGTGGGAAACCCGCAAGGGTTGCTATGAGTCAGCATGGACTCATTGGCGGTGAATTTATTTTTTGTCAGCTTCCAGTCACTTGGTCAAGTCAGTCAACTCAAAGCACCATGGGCTGCCAAAAGAACAATTCTGCCTGGTGTGGTCAGAATGTTCCTTAGAAGCAATGATTAAAAAAAAGAAGAAGAAGCAATGATAAGAAGTTCCCACGAACTTTGGACTTGTTCCCAGGAGAGGTCAGTCCCTGCAGAGAGACATCATGCTTAGTACCATAGAGGGCCAGCAAAAGAAGAGAGGAAGGCTACAATGGGCTCAAACACAGGAAAAACTGAGCCAGGCGCAGCGCGGGACAGGGCTTCACCCGGTTGTTCCTGGGACCGTTCAGGGGTCGGAACCAACTCCATGGCACCTAACCACAATACACCTTTTTGTTCCAAGACTTAGTTCAAGTTCAATAACCAAGAACCCAAATCCCGCGCCTTCCTCGCGAGTGATCTTTGCCAGCCATTCCCGCCGCAGACAGTCCTCAAGAATGGGGTCGATTTCTGGGCTAATGGTCCGCGGGCCAAAGGTCAGATCCCAGCGGAGATCCAAGATCTCCAGTGCTACTAGGTTCAGGCCCGTGGCCTGGTGAACCTCTTCCCAGGTCGCAAACACCCCACGGGGCGTATTCTCGCCGACGCCTGGGCGCGCTGGCCAATGCGCCCCGGGCGCACCTGCGGCTCTGAGGCCCCACCGCTGGAGGCCGAGGGCTTCGAAGGTGATTGGCCGCCCCCAGCCTCAGCGCCAGCGCGCCCTCCCACCCGGCCCCTCTGGCCATGGAACCACCTTCCTCTCCGCCCCACTGGCACCCAGCTCAGACCTGATTTGGCGGCGCATTCCTGTCCGAGCAGCAGAGAAGCCAGAGTTCCCAACCGAACGGCCGGCACTGTCCCAACCAGGTCCGGATCATGAAGATCGAGTTCGCGCCGCGCAACATCCCGCTGGCGCGGCGGCTGCAGACGGCGTCGGTGCTGCTGTGGCTCGTGCTCACAGTGCTGCTGGGTAAGGGGCACGCGCGCTCGGGCCAACTAGGCGACTAGCGCGGGCACGGGACTCCAAGGAAGCGCTCCAAACCGTGACGCCCTTGTTTGAGAGCAGGAGGTCAAAAAGGGCGTTCGGAATTAAGCAAAAGCCACTTCTCTGGCGTTTGCTGAATCCCATAGCCAACAGCTGTTTGCCAACTCCATTTTCCTGTCCTATTCTTCTCTGAGATATACTGTATACTCGCAAACCCACTGATGAGAAATGTATACATTTGGGATATGTAGGCGACCTATGAAACCATGACCCAGTGGAGCACTGCGCTTTGGCCTCTCAGAAGTTGACAAACTTGTTTCTAGGACTGTAGTACCCACTGGTAAATGGAAAAACAGTACCCAAGAATTTAAACTTTAATGCCTTCCCCACTCCTGATGCCAAACAACTGTGTTGGGTTTCTGTGTTTAAAGGTCTCCGGGATTCTGAAAGGCAAGGCTGAAGCCAAATCGTGGGGTGGCGCCTTCTGCCTGCAAAGAATTTGACACAGAGATGCGTTCCACTTGATCCCAAATAAAGTCCACTGTAGAAACGCAGTGGAGTGGCCTGGTGGTTCAGCAGTGTAAGCGTTGGGTTGCTCACGGCAAGGCAGTTGGTGCCTTGGCTAGCCACCCCTCCTGATGGGAGAGAGATAAGGCGGGCTGTTTGCATGGCACTGTATGGAGCAGTCCTTTAATGTCCAATAGCTTCGCTTCGAGTTGGAATCCATTCCCAGTCGGATCCCTATGGGTTTGGGTTTGGGTTTGGGTGGGTATTAATGCACTTAGGGCAATCATTACCCATGGGACGGCAACCTTAGGGGGTCTGACCTAGACCCAGAGAGGCCAGGGAGTGTACTTTCTCCTGTGCACCCAGGCCAGTCATTACAGATGGGATGTCAACATTAGGTGGTCTGACCTAGGCACAGAGAAGCCAGGGAGTCTTTATTTCTTTTCTT